GGGTCCGTGAGGTAGCCAGGCGAAACGAGTTGTTATACACACTAGCTACCTTGGGAAGATGCTAATCCCAATCTACCTGGTCCGGTCTTATATACATACGCAGTACTTGCTGTAGAATCTTGTTCATCTGCTCGGTCTGGCCATTTGTCTCAGGGTGGCGCCCAGAGGACATAGCTAACTTAGATCCGTAGACCTTCATTAAGTGCTGCCACTGTTCCCCTGTGAACCGGGTGTCTCGGTCACCAACTATACTCAACGGGTGACCGTAATCCTTGACCCAGTGGTTAAAGAACTCTTTGATGACCAGAGCTGTCTTTGCCGCAGCAGGTAATGGTACAAAAACAACAAACTTACTAAACCTGTCAACTATAACCATGACCTGACTTTTTCCACTAGTACTCTTGACGTTAGTGTCCATGAAATCGATAGATATAAATTCACCAGGGCCGGATGGGATAGGCAAGGGTTTCAACAGTCCGAGGGGAGGCTGCATGGAATTCTTGTTCCTTTGACACACTTGACAGCCTTGGACATAAGTGATGCAATCATGCTTCATGTCGGCCATGTGTAGGACCTAAGTAGGGTCGCATAGGTCTTCCGCCAACCAAAGTGGCCTTCAGTATCGTGGCATTCCCCTAGGATCAAACTGCATACCTCTTCATTACGCGGAATGCAAAGCCTATCATGCACATCAGTCTTTTCAAACAGCAATCCATCGGCCATTCTGAAGTCTGGGACTTCTTGAGGTCTGGTATGCACCTTCTCTATGAGCGCACTATACATGGGTTCATCAGCGTATGCAGCCTTGATCTTTTGCTGCAGATCCACGCCAGCGTCCAGGTAAGTCACTATTGCACCAAAAAAATCTGCATGTTTGCTCAATGCATCAACGACGACATTATACTTACCCTTGACTGGTATTAACTCAAAATCAAACTGATCAATCTCCCGAGCCCACCTAGCACTTGGAGCCATTCGGGCCTGGGTCTTCAACCAATGCAATGCAGCGTCTCATGGTCTGAACATACCTTGAAGTGTCACCGTAACAGGTAGTGCCGCCAGTGGTTTAGAGCCTGTCGAAGGGCAAAGAGGGTAAAGGAATGCATAATCTTCTCCACCTTTTTCCCCTCCTCTAATCGGAAGTATGCCTTGATCCCCTCGATGTATTCCTCCACTCGCATCTCGTGATTATCGACCAGTCTACTCACTACCGGCTCACTCAACTTCTGCACCTTCATTCCTAAGTGCAACTTCTCCAGTCCTCTCCTGCTGATAAAACTTTGAGTAGAGCCACTATCCACTAAGGATCCCACTCGCGTCCGACTAATCTCTACGTTTGCCAAAATCAGCTGCCCTCTTCTCTTCTTCATTTCAGCCCAGGCAGGGCAACGAGTGATCAACTCATCACCAATGCCTGCGAGGGAGCCACCTAGAGAGACCCTAGCACAAGCAGTCTCTGGACAACTATCTAGGTGGGGGCCTACATCAGCCTCTGCCGTTGGGGTCCTCGGGTTGGAGGTCTCTCTTGCAGTGTGTGCTTCTTGTAATGTACCCAAGGCCCGTAGTAGGAGCAACTGCCACTCCTACCGGCTGTTGCCTTTTGACGGCGATTTCAATTCAGGGCACCAAGGAATCAGATGGCCTGCCTCTCCACATTTTAGGCAGGTCCCTTCCTTGATTCTCTTGAGCCACATGTCATAGGTCATACCCAACTCCCTCCATGGCTCCCCCTCTGCACGTCCAGGGTGCCATGGGTATCTAAGTGGTGCAGTTCCTCTTCCGCTCGAATTGCCATTGTTGGCGAGGGTGAAATGTCCTCTACCCCTGCCTTGCTGTTGAGGGGCATGGCCGGTGCTACCATGTGGGGGTCCATAACCCCTACCTCCCTCTGCACAGCCTCCATTGCTGCACTCTCCCTGAAAGCCATGTCCTCTTCCTCCCCAACCACGACCTCCTCTACCTCGGCCGCCTCTTCCTCCTCGTCCTCCCCCAAAGACTACAGCAATAAAGTCACCTCCTTGGACTCCACAACTGTCCCCATCTAACCCATATTCTATTTGATCATAAGTGAGGGCTCACAACCTCCTCCTTCAAACATCACCACTAGGATGTCCTTGCCCGTAATACTCCCCGCAATGGTCTTACCTTTCCAAGCCTTTCCCTTCTCCAAGTCCTTGTACCAATGGCAATTTGCTTCTTGGAGGTACCCAGCCTGCTCCATCGCTAACTTACTGAACTTGTCGTAAGTCATGCCGTCCTCTTTGATCTTAGCATAGAGGTTGCTCTTGATGGAATCAGAGAGGGCTCTCGCGAAGTTGTTCAAAATCTGTTCGGGGGTCAGTCCGTGATCCGGGGTCTGCAACAATTCATCCATCGTGGCCTTCAAGGCTGACACATTCTTCCACTTCCTAAGGTGAATGCTGTTCAACCTGTCTACGGTCCTCATGGCACTGGTCTTATCCTCAAATCGGTTGCGGATGGCATCTAAGAAGGTCTTGAGAGCTTCTGTGAGTATGCTACCATATCACGATCGCAGCCTGCCGCATTGGCTAGTGATAGTGCAAAATTCGCAGCAGCGCCACTTAGGCACGAATAAGCTATCAAAACTTTGTCTCCCTCTGGAATGCATTGCGCATATGCGTATGATTGGACCGTCGATTCCCACCGATCAATGCCGCCAGTCTAAGCTGTATTTTGGCTTCTCTCACCATTATCATATATTCTCTCTCCTTCGCCGTAGCAGTCTCTAGAATCTTTGTAAATGCAGCATTCTCTTCTGCAGTCTCATCCTCAGGCTGCTCTACGCCGTAATCAAACTGCGCCGCCCAAACTTCAGGAATGTCCTGATCAAAACTTAGGGTGGTCTCATAGCTGCACTCCCCTGCTTCCTTTTCCTTGGGGAGCACATACTCCACCATGCCTTCCTCCCCATCTTGCACTTGCAACTCCACCTTTTCCTCTTCTTCTTCAATCTTTTTCCAGTCCTCCTCCAGCTGCCTCATCATCTTCTCTTCCAGCTGTTTTGCCATTTCTTCCTCCAACTTCTTCCTCTCCACCTCCATCTTCTTTCTCAACTCTTCCTCTCTCTTCGTTGCTTTCTCCTCCTTTTTCTCTTTCAACCGCCAGTTTATCTCTGCCTGTTCCTCCACTGTGTATGGCTCAGTGACTCTGCCGGACTTTGTGACCACGGTCATCCTAGTGGTCCGGTGGAAACCCAGCGGAAAAATGAACAGTAGGAGGGGCCACCATATGACGGACATGAAAAAGGAGAGCAAACATCGGGTAATCATCCATGGCGAGAGATCGACACAGCGGTAAGTACGCTCCACCTCCTCACCACGTAGGCTTAACCCACAACTTCACTAATCTCAACACTTATCTATACCTGACTCGGGGTCCGACTGCACTTGATGGGATGATGTCTACAGTGCTCGACCAGCAGCAACGTTACCAAGGAAATACGTGGAAATTTCACAAAAACAGCAAAAGGTTCAGCAGGCAGGGCTAAGGGCCGAAAGCACTTCACTTTGGTCTTCACAATGCCGCTCCCCGCCTATCTTGGTCTGCTACAGGTACGTAGATCCCGCTCCAATCTCAATTCAGCACCTTTTCCAATCTCAATTCAGCACCTTTTCCCTTCTCTGCTACAGTGAAACCGCGACACACACGCACCCGCTGGCCTTATGCTTTGCCAGCTTACTTCCACCACCGCAGTGCAACGGGTTACAGCTCCGATACCAGTGCAATGATCCCCGTAAGATCCAACTCGAAATACCACATGCAAATTGGGAGCATTCAGATAAAGAACTCACAAGCTTGGGCTATGGCCATGAACAGTGCCAATTCGAAATTCCACTCGAAGTACAAATAATATACAATTAAAAAGGTTGGGACTGGGCGGTCTCCACTGCTGCAACACACTCCGGTAAGTACCCGACTTTCTCCCCCTCCGATCTGGTTCTTCTCTCCCTCTCTTACTCTCTATCTCTCCACTCACATCTCTGCACTGTTCGTCCCACGGTGCTCCCTGCTACTGTTCCTCCCTCTACAATGTCCTTGATCTACCCTGAATGCCTCTGCGGTGTGCCTCACAACAACGGGTGGCTAGGCCGCCAAACACTTCATCTCCCACTCTCCTGGCTATGGTGGTCTGTCGCATCAAGGGCGCTGGTCTTCTTCCTCCCTTCGGCGCACTTCTTCGTCCAGGTTGCTAGTCCGCACAAGCTCCAACAGCTTCCACAAATTTGCGAAATGACAACTGACTATCCTCCGGCACTGCAGCCCAAAATATATAGTTGAAGTGGGCTGGGTGTGCCTGCTTCAATCGGTACTGGCCTCCTTCGGCCTCTGCCTTGCCAAGTTGCTATTTTGGGAAGGCTGTTGCAAATTTTGGACTTTGGGGACTGCACGCTGCTACAGGTACTGTACTCACTGACCTGCGACGCCTACACCTACAGACCCTAAGATTCAGCTACCGGTAGGGTTTGGGGACTGCAATAATTGGGGACCCTGGAGCAGGGTCTGAGAAAATTTGCAGTGTGAATCCATTCAATACGAGTAACTTCAAATATTAACTCTATTGATTTCGACAAATTTTCCTTCTTTTTTTTTTTTTTTTGACCAAACAGGCAGGCAAAATTATTTAAAACGGTTCTCTTAATGACGAAAAAGCAATGACGAAAGGAATTGATGGAATAGTTGCGAATTGTTCCTAGTGGAATAAAAGCCACTGTTATTTTTTTTATTTTTTTTTTTCCCTCGGAGCTTTCGATGATCGATATATAAACGATTGGAAAATGTCGTCACTCGGTAAGCTTTTATGTTTTCTGAACATGTTCTCTTTTTTTAATAAATATTTCTGTTGGGAGGTTAGATGACTAATGCCTATGCTTTGTTCCCGCTTTTTTTCAATTATTATTTAAATTTATTTTAAGTTACGCTTATTTTAAGTTAATGTGAACGGCATTTGTCTGCTTGTTAATGCTGTGCATTTGCTGCAGAGGCAAAGAAACAAAAACTTGCGGAGCTGAAAAATGGCCTTGACGAAGCAGACTCCCTTGTGAGTGCGTTGCACCACTTCCAACCTCTTACTGGGTAGCATCTGTGATTTTTTTTTCTTCTTTTCCTCCCTTCTAAAAACTATGACTCTTACTGGTTAGCATCTGTGATGTTTTTTTTTTTTTTTTCCCCTCCTTTCTAAAACTATGTAGCAAGTATGATGATTTTTTCTCTTTTCTTTCGATTTTCCCCACAGAACTTCGAAGTTCTTTGACAAATTAAAAAAGGAGGTCCCCAGATAGAGGTTACCTGGAATTCTGTGGTTGAGTTCAGAAGAGGCATCATGACAACCTATGCCTCAATAAAGTGCGCCTGATCAGTGCAAGTCTGGGACAAGAATGGTGGTGGTGGGATTTGGAGGATTGAAATCAAGAGTGGAGCTCAAATATCAGTTCTGGAAATGAATGAACGTATGAGTGAAGTAAAATCCAAGATCAAGAGTGGAACTGTGAGGAGTCTGAACCAATTGAAAAACGAAAAACTCCTGATAAATCTGAGAACCGTGAACAACCTGGGGATGGTTTGTTTGATGAAAATAAGAACCTGCGGTGGGCTTGCACTGCAGTGGTTGTACCAGCTCTTTCATCAGACCCGTACGAAGTAATCTTGGTGAACTGGTAACCTGTGGTGGGCTAGACAACTTGTTTAGTGAGTGCTGTCGCTCGTGCCTGTGCGGCTACCACGGCGTCACATCGCCCGGCGAGTTGACCGAGCGATCTGGAACGTTCATGGCCTATCTGACCGACCTATTGACAACAACAAGAATTGAGTACAGCAGCTTGACCCTGGGAAAGACCACCGGTCCCAACATCAATGACACAATAAGGGTTGACAAGGCACTTTACATCAGCTTGATGATGCTCTGTGCTGGCTCCAATTGCTCTATGCACTTTGCTGGTAAATCTGCCTCTTCCATTGACCTCTTCTTCCACGGCCCACCCTACCTCTTTGCCGAATAACCCTTCTGGGCAGTCAATCCTCCAAGCTGCAAATCGCTTCAGCTGACACACAACTCGTCTCAATCACAGGCAGGCAGGCATAGATCGCAATGCCGGCTTTTGCCCGTTGGGAAGACACCAAGAGTCTGCCCCAACACCAATTGCATTGATTTTACAAATTCATTCACACTGCTTTCCATGATAAAACAACCTTACACTTCAACATGCAAAGCTTCACACACGAGATGCAATCCCACAGGAGAAGAGAGACAGTGGGAACTGTCTGGAAATTCAGAATCTTACTCGTCAAAGTTTTGTGTTGACTCAATCTTGGTCTGGAAATTCAGAATCTTACTCGTCAAAGCACTTCACTTGGGTCTTCACGATGTCGCTCCCCACCGATCTTGGTCTGCTGCAGTTACGTAGATCCTGCTCCAATCTTAATTCAGCACCTTTTTCTTTCTTCTCGCCTGCTACAGTGAAACCTCGACACGCACACACCCGTCAGCCTTATGCCTTGCCGACTTTCTTCCACGACTGCAGTGCAACGGGTTCCAGCTCCGATACCAGTGCAATGAACCTCGCAAGATTCAACTCAAAATACAACATGCAATTGGGAACATTCAGATGGCGTTTACACAAGCTTGAGCGGTGTCCATGAACAGTGTAAATTCAAAGTTCCATTCAAAGCACAATAATATACACTTGAAAAGGTTTGGGAATATGTTTCAACCGCTGCAACACTCCTCAGGTATGTATCTGACTCCCTCCTGCTTCTTTTTCTTTCCTCTCTCGCTCTCTCTCTCTCTATACTCTACTCCTCTCTCTCTTTCACTTGCACTGTTCCTCGCTCGCTGTTCCTCACTCACTGTTTCTCTCTCTACAATGTCCCAGATCTACCCTGAATGCCTCTGCGGTGTGTCTCACTGCAAACGGGTGGTTACGGCTGCCAACACTTCGTCTCCTCCCTCCTGGCTATGGTGGTCTGTTACAGCCAGGGTGCTGGTCTTCTTCCTCGCTTCAGCGTTCTTCTTCGTCCAGGTCGCTAGTCTGCACAAGCTCTCAGCAGCGCTTCCACAAATTTGCGAAATGAATAACTGCCCGCCTCCGGCACTGCAGTCCAAGATATATAGTTGTAGTGGATTGTTTCGTGCCTGCTTCAATCCGTAGTGGCCTCCTTCAGCCTCTGCCTTGCCGATTGCTATTTTGGGAAATTTCCTGACTTTCTTGTGAGGCTGCTGCAATTTTTTTCTGGGGACTTGATGTGCTCCTACTGGTACTGTATGGTACTGTATGGTACTGTAGCCAGCGACCTAAGGTGTCTGATCCTACAGGCCCTAAGACTCTAAACAATTGGGGCCTGGACTGTGGTAATCAGGGACCCTAGAACAGGGACTGGGAAAGCTTACAGCGTGAATCCATTCATCAGGAAAAGGTACGCTCATATTTTTTGGCTACATATTATGTGTTTTCTGACAACAATTTTCTTCGAAAGTCAATTCTCATGTGCTTACAAACATCGTTTGTCTTTTGCTCTCCACACCTGGATTTCTCTCGCGCGTTACATATACTTCATCCCCCGAGTACAATACCAGATTGCAATCACTACATAACCCCTTCATAATGCGGGCGAGCAATTTGCTACGTCAGTTGCTACAGTTCTGTTACTAGTTAACAGAATGCGGATGTCCGGGCCAGCACCAACCATGACGACGAAAGTAAATGCACCGCCAGTTGGATTGAACCCTACACCTAACTTAAAACCAGCCGCCCATCTCAGTTGCTAAAGCTCTGTTACTACTTCATGCCAATGCCCATGTCGAGGTGGACGGCATCGACCATGTCGAGCAATGGTAAATGACCATGATCGGGATTGAACCCAACACCTGCTCAACCCCAGCCCCCTGGGTCAATTGCTAAGGCCTTGCTACTGCTTAACACCAATGCCTATCACTACCCCACGCGTCGGGCCCCAAACATGCCCAATAACGTACATGATGCCATCAGGGTCTGAAACTGAGACCAGCTCACGACACCTGCCTACCGCAGTTGCTAAGGCCCTATTACCATGTCACCCCCAAAACATTTCTAAGAACTGGGTGCCAAGCATCCCCCGGAGGGTGCATGGGCCCCTATCCGAATTGAACCCAAACATCCGCACCCCCAGCCGTGCACCTCACTTATTAAGGACCTATTGCTACTTCACGCCAATCCCATTTGAAACCAAAAAAAAAGTCGACAGGTCTTAAAAGCAGTACTTCTGGGCCCGAACATTGTTTGCTAACGAAATGCATCGTGTGGTCCACATTCCTTACGACCAATAACTCTGATGCCACTTTTACATCGGCCCACCTTCCAGTCAACTCATCGACTGTCATAGGCTCTTACACTGACTCTACATTCTTGCGCCTGTATGACCGGTTCGTCTAAGTGAGAAATTTTGTCTTTCCGTTTCCATTGACTTTCACTGTCTGCTGTAGCACGGATGCACGTGTGGACCACCTGTGGTCCCATAGTTCCGTCCAAGACATGGGTCCAAAACCATTAATATTCAAAGCACTTGCCATTTCTCGCGTTCCTCATCTTTGGCAGTTTGTCTCCTCTTCCTTACCTCGTCGTTTCACTACGCTTCCGTGCCACCTCTTTACACGAATGGCACCATATCTGCAAAACGCTACTACTGTTCCAGGCGGCACTGCAGGAACCAAGTCATGTGCTAAGTCTTTGCCCTCCAGATTGATGCTCTCATGATTACCGCATGCCAGACGTCCTTTTTCTGATGCGTAGTATTATCGTCTTTCAACCTGGAGCTTCGTGCTTGGTGCTCGACCTGCAGCTGTTCAACGTGGAGCTTCGTGCTTGCTGCTCGCTATCTGTGGAAGCCCGCCGGCGTTGCGAAGATCTGCTGGCTATGACTGTACCTTCTGGGTACATCATATCCCTCCCACGTGCTAGGACGAAGCAGTGGGGGTTTTCATGACTGACTGCTGTCCACTGTTCTCTGCGTTCTCCTCCATAGCCAGTTAAACAGAGCAAACACCTCTGCAAAGTACTGAGACTGCGAACACTTCCTTCACCTATATTCTCCGTTCTTCCACGTCATCTACGTCCCTCCATTTTGCTCATATTACAACTGCTTATCCACGCACATCAACTGCCTGCCCACAATTCCCTTTTTCTTTTTTTCACTACGATGCCTCGGAATTGTCTCTGTCCTGCACACAATCCGTACTCCATACGCCGCGAAGCACAGAAAGAACAAGAAGGCCACACGTGCTACATTGAGCATGCACGAGCGAGGCTGGCAAACTATCGTCAACAAGGGTTGCCAGATACTGGCCACACAGCACAGTCAAACGTCTCTGTGAGAACGTGGAAGAGCGTGAGGAGAAGTGTCAATGATGTGAAGACAAGGTGAAACGAATGCAAGTGATCATAGACAAAGGTAATGTTAACGAGGATGCAGACTACCACAGTGAAGAAGAGCAACTCCAGGAGCAGCTACAAGAATTCGAACGACAACACTCTCCTTCACAGACTACTGATGAAGGTGACATCATTACAGATTATGACAACAGCGATCTGGAGGCTGATTGGCCATGCTCTCCTGAAGACGGGCAAGACAGCATGACGTCAACTTACACCACAGAGACGAGTGACAAAGAGCACACTTCAACTGTTGAGAGTAATGATTAGTATGAAGATGAGGGCACGTCGAAACACACTTTACACTGAAAGACAAACAGATATTGAGGAACACGTGCACAACCAAACCAACGTGCACAAGCTACCGCTGCTGATACACGCCGAAGGACAGTTTGCCTGTAATTCTAAACGTAATCGTCGTTCTTTTGTTCATGGATTTTTTCGATGTGTACTACATATCTTCCACATTGACGTTCGACCTGTGTTTTGGTCTTCACATCTATACGTATGGTGTAGAGCCTGCTTATCTTTGTTGATGACGATGCTCGACCTTAACATGACACACATCATTGTACAAAAGCTGTTCTTGCTTTGTAAATTCGTTTGGTTTTGCTCTCTTTATAAACCAATTTCTCCCACCTTTGACTAGTACACTTTTATCCTCCTCATCATTTGCCTGTGAAATTGCAATGTATAACTCTGAATTGCCACTCCGCAATCTTGCCTATTTCTATTGTTTCAAACTTTTCTCTTCCTACTCCTAATCCTCTATTCTCCTTCTCTATTTCTCACTGCCCCTCGCCATTTCTTACCTTTTTAACCAAATTCGTTGTTACAGTGCTCGCCTCCCTTTCAGCAAACATGATCGTTAATATTTTTATCAACTTCTCTCATGTAAAGACCACGCGAAACTCCACCGAATGCCTTTTTTTTTCCTTGGCCTGGGCGTTCGTGTTCAAATAAAACTCCTGATTCCCGCAACCGGAGCTGTGCTGCTTCTTCTTGCTTACATATATTTCATATTGCAACTACAATGCCTGATTGTAATCACTGCATAACCCTTTGCTAACGCGGGGGAAGCCGCGCTGGCACATCTTGTGCAATTTGAAGACATTCAGATGAAGTTCGCACAAGCATGAACGATGTCCATGAACAGTGCCAATTCGAAGTTACACTCAAAGATACAACAATATCCAATTGAAAAAGTTCGGGAATGAGCGGTCAGAACCGCAGCAAACATGCCTCCGGTATGTACCTGACTTCCTCTTCCTTTGTTCTTCTTCTCTCTCTCCCTCTCTGACTCTACTTCTCTCTCCCCCCCTCCTCCCCCCCCCTCTCTCTCTCTCTCTCCTGCACTTTTTCTCTCTCGATCCTCCTCACCCACTGTTCCTTGCTCACTGTGCCTCTGCGGCGTGCCTTGTTGATCTTGGGCCGGCAATGGCTGCTGTCTTCTTCTCCCCACTCGCCTGGCTATGCGACTGTAGTAGCCAGGGCGCTGGCTTCTTCTTCCCCCTTCGCCAGCTTCTTTGTCCAGGACGCACGATGGCACAAGCTCCAGCAGCACTTCCACAATTTTGCGAAATGAATTGAACTGCTTCGGCACTGTAGACCAAAATATATAGTTGCAGTGGCCTGTTTGTGGTGCTTCAGTCGGTTCCGGCCTCCTAAGGCCTCTGCCTTGCCAAATTTTCAATTTGGGAAATTTCCCAACATCCTTTGAACTTTGGAGCCTTGACGTGCTTGCAGGTACTGTAGCCTACCGACCTATGACCTCATCCTACAGACTCTAGGACCTACTCTAGCGGGATAGCCTGGGACCTTGGAACTGGGACTCAGAAAGTTTGCAGCATGGATCCATTCACTTATCTATTCTCGCTTGACTGTCTTTGTACAAACATGCTTCCTGGTGATTGAGCAACCGGACTGACGCCGCCGAGAATAGAAGGGACCTTTGTGTTGTTCTCAATATTGTGTGGGTGATTCTCTTTTCTTTGCTGCCTGTCTGTGTGCTTCTGACCATGGACAGATTCGTCGGATGGACTTGGAGGCTCGAACTCTGCCGCCCCCTCAGAGAGCAACGATGCTTACAAAACTGAGGGAGTACAAATCAGATCTCAATAATTTGAAGAGGGAGGTGAAGAAGTCGCAGTCGGCCCTTCCTGATGCAGCGACGGCGAGGGAAGACCTTCTTGAGGCTGGTCTTGGTGATCGCATCTCTGTAAGTGATCACTCATGGCTGTGCGACGTAAGCTGGGCATACTCTCTCTCGAGGGGCTTTCTTTGGCGCAGGTCTACGGTTGTCCCTTGACCACTATAACACACACTGATCGCGAATGTATACAAGCTATCTCTCTGGTTTGGTACAGCTGTAATGGTTGTTGTGGTAGTCAACCATCTCAGGGATTGGACAGTAAATGATAGAGACAGGACTTTTGTTCTTTCGTTCTTTTTTAAAAAATTAAAAAAGTACTCCATTCTATTGGTGGGGAGCTGGAAGTGCTGGAAACCATGTCCAGGTGTCCCCTAAAAATACAATATATATGGAGAATATGCACCTCAATGGCCTCTCATCTTTGTCAGATTTGTTCTAGGTTGCAGCATCTACTGGCTTCCCTGGAAAGTGCACCCTGATAATGAATGTATACAAGCTCTCTCTCCAGTTCAAGACAGGTAAAATGAGGTTGAGTTGTGCTCGTGGAATGACGGTAGTCAATAGACTCACAGAGATGTGTGAGGAGTATATCCCTGACCACTGCAGCTCTCCCACTCGTTGAGACTAGGAAGTAGTCTACAAAGGAAAACAGTACGAGAACTGCATAAGTGATGGCAATGCTTTTTGAGCAGGAAACTGGCTGAAGACTGACTTGTATGTTGGGCAAAACTTCTTCAATTCTCATTATGGTTGTCCGGTTGTGGCGAGCATCAGGAAAAGAGATCTCTCAATGGGACTTACAAACCTATCATGTCCCCCACTGTCTTCACCGGAATAAAACGCCTGGTCATTATCACCGTATCTAGACTGGGAGTTCTGCCAAATACAGCTGTAATGACCGGGCGTTCTATTCGGGTGAAGACAGTAGCATGCCATGCCACTGTAAAGCACATATTAGATGGTGCAAGGAATACGAGCGAGAGCGATAGACAGAAATCCAAATTGCAAAATCACGCTGTAGTCCAGATAGTCATGTACCAAGCAGAGAGCACAATGCACCAAGATAGCATCCAAATAAGAGCAATGCAATGAACTCAAGACAGAAATCCAAATTGCAAAATCATGCTGTAGTCCAGATAGTCATGTACCAAGCAGAGAGCACAATGCACCAAGATAGCGTCCAAATAAGAGCAATGCAATGAACTCAAATATCAATGCCGACGTTCTCTGGCCACACCAACATAGTATCCAATGTCGCTCCTACTGATTGGCGCCCAGCGTCTCACCCTATCTAAGCCTATCTATGTTCATGCAACAGGATCACATCGACGTTGAAGATCAATGTACGTGATGTCATCACCTATGCACACTGCATCATACACCAGGTACATGTCTCTTTTTCCTCCCCTCATCACACCCTGTCTCCCCCACTTACTCAAAGACCAACATCTCCATCACCGCGCCTACGCCCAGCAGCCCGGCTATGGCCGTCCTGCACTCGCCTCCTCAGCAGCACCCCTCTCTCACCTCTGCGCCCATGCGCACGTCTGGCCCGCAGTGCTAGCACAACTGCTCGTGCGCTAATGCAGCAGCATGGCCGCATTGCCCACCCAGGCCAGAATGCCTTGCCCCTGGGCACTCACATTCCTTTATTGAAAGTTCGCCCTGCTGCTGGCTGGTCTGGGCGTGGCGTGTAGGGGCCCAGTAGCTTCAGGTTGGCCCAAAGTATCTGCGCCCAGGCCCAGTTTCAGATACTGGCCTGCGCCCTGCAGTTAGGCACGCCCAGGTAGCCCATGAGGCTCGAAGTGTTTGGCGCGATCTCATTGGCTCGTGGCATCTGTGTGATGCAGGAGCTGCTTTCTCATTAGTCCATGGCCGCTACATGATGTGTTGGCCTCTCACTGCACGTGCCCAAGGCCCAACCACCTGAGCGCTGGGCTCAACTGTACGACGCAGCTGTTGCTTCCGGAAGGAGCCAGGGAAGGCTCATGTTGCTCTGTGACCAACTGGCGTGCTGCAACTGTCTGGTACCCCACATACAAAGAATCGCAAAAATAGGCCTCACGTGGTTATGCAGGCCCGCCTTCACTTAGGGCGGTCACGAGGCTTGCTGGGGGCCTGAGCCCAGAACGTCTGTGTGCCCGACGAAGGCGTTGCAAGGGGGGCTCAATCCTCGCATTTCATCCTCCTTGGCTTCGAAAGTCCGCTGAGATGCTTCTATGCAGGTGCTTTCCCCTTCAATTTCCATTCATACTCTGCCACGCCTGTGGTGCTGTTCTGACAAGCTCCGCTCTTGTGAACCCATGGTCTTCTTTTGGATCTGCATGATGCCTGAATCTGACCCGGTACTCCCTCGTAGGTTTTGGCGGTCTTCCCCTGCCGACGGGCTTGGGAACAGGGAAGTCTCTATGTTCCAGGGTGTCGTCGACGTCCACATGGCCTTCCAGCATTGATCTTCTTGATGGAAAGTTGAAAACTGATCAGTCTCTGCGAAAGGTGCAAGCTTTGAAGCATGGAATACATGATAAGTGGGCTGGTGACCAGGGATTCTTATCACGTACGAGGGACGATCCAAATCATTACCCTCAATATCCAGAACTTCCCAAGGACCGAAATGCTGTGGCGTCATCTTTCTAGAGGTGCCTAATTCCTGTCCTAGTTCACTAGTCGTTACCCAGGCACGTTCCCCAACCTGAAATGTGGACTGTCGTCTGTGTCTGTTCTCAAGAGGCAATCATTGCCTCCTGAGATTTCCTGGTATGCTTCGCAGCTTGCTGCAACAGCTTGTCATACTGGACACCAAATTCTATGCTTCCAGGAGTTGCAGCTGGTCGGTTTTTAGGAAGGAGGAAGTCTAGTGCCCGTCTAGGCTTCCACCCCAAATGCAGCTGACTGGGACTGATGCCGGTGGTGCTGTGTACAACGTTATTGTACAGACTGGCGATGGGACGCAATTTCTCATCCCAGTCATCTTGGCTGGGCTTAGTTTAGTGCCTCGGCAGATGCTACACCACACGGTTCATCTGTTCCGCTTGGCCATTGGCTTCGGGATGATTCCCCAAAGTCATTTGGAGTTGGCTGCCCATGTGTTCACCAGCCTTCTTCCACATTTCATTGGTGAACCGGACATATCTGTCACTAACAGTAGTCTTAGGCAGTCCAAAGTCACGCACAAGGTTATCCATGAATAACTTGATGACGTGCTGAGTATTTGGAGTCTCTTGCATGGAAATCAGTCTAGCGTACTTAGTAAATCTGTCCGCTATGACAAAGATGTTAGTAAATATGTCCACGATGACAAAGATGTGCTGCTTGACACTCTTGCTGGTCAGGAGAGTGTCCATGACATCCATGGAGACGCTTTGTCTCGGACCTGCAAAGATGGGCAAGAGCTTGAGTAACCCAAGTGGAGCTTGAGTTCGCGGCTTATCCCGCTGACAGAGTTGACAAGTCTGAACATACTTTTTCGCACAATCTTTTTATCCTTGCCTTCTCAAGAAAGAGTAACCTATCCAGTGTCACAAACTCATCGGATGTGGCCTTGTCTTTAGCCTCGAGCTTGCGGGTAATGTCCATCATGACAGGATCTTTCTTGTAGGCATCCAGCAAGGATCATGATACATCATCTGATAAGCCGAACTCAATTATTAGCTCACGCTGGTAATATTCCCTGCGTGACAATGCAGTAGCAACCTTGTTGTACTCTCCCTTCACGTAGTCTAGCTTGAAGTCATACTGATCTATGACTTCAATGCAGCGTTTGAGTGCATCAAAGAGAACAGGCTTCGTCTTGATCCACTTGAATGTTTGATGGTCACTTCTCAAGTAGCAGAACCTACCCAACAGATAATGCTTTACCAACTTTATAAAGGACGTAGAGTTCCCTTTCCTAAGTGGACTTCACCAACTTCTTCGATGGCATCTTCTTTCTCATATACTCGATCGGGCTCAACTTCTTCCCTTCCTGTTGAGCATACTTCAATCGTTTGAAGGCTCCCTCACATGTGTCTGTCCATTCCCATGGTGTGTTAAGGCGTGTTAAATCAATGATGAAAGGGGCAGCCAACGTACTATAGTTCTTGACGAAATTGCGGTAGTAGTCAGTCATCCCTAAGAAAGATCTGACCTCTGGTTGTGGCCTATCACAAATGCTAGCCACCTTCGCATCTTCGGGCCTAACGCTGTCTGCGGACACCTCGTGACCCAAGTACAAGATTTTGGTGCGACCGAACTCACATTTCTCTAAATTGATCTTATAGTTGTGCTGCCTAAGGAGCCGAAGCACAAAATCTTAAGTGATGCGCATGCTCCTCGACAGTCTTACTGAAGATAAGGATATCGTCGAGGTACATGACAATGAACTTGTCCAAGTAGTCATGGAATACCCTATTCATGGCGTGTGCTGAAATGTACCCGACGCATTGCAAGGGCCAAAAGTCATCACCACAAACTCGTACAAACTGCACCTTGTTTGAAAAGCGGTTTTGTGTTGATCTTCTGGTCGAATGGCAATCTGATGGTAGCTGGATCTGAGATCTATCTTAGTAAAGTACTTACGTCCGTGCACCCTATCTAGTAGTTCATCAATATGGGGTAGAGGCTCTGTGTTCTTTACAATGATGGCATTGAGGCCTCTATAAGCAATGACATCATCAACGATCTTTCCTTCTTCATAACAAATAGGACTGGTGACCCGAAGAGGGAAGTGCTAGGCCGTATCCAACCCTTCTCTGTGAGCTCTTTCAGTTGCCGACGATGCTCGTCGAACTTGGTTGGAGCCATCCTATAGATCCTCCCCTTTGGCGTCTTACTACCTAGGATTATTTATATGGCATGGACAACCTCCCCGTCCACGACTCCCGAAGGCTCCTCAAACATATTAGGGTACTTAGCAACGACGACTTCGATTTTTGGCAGTGACCTCCCCTTTCTTAGAGGCAAAAACCAAGTACATACCCTCTTGGTTCTGTTTATAATAGTTATAGAACGTTGATGCCCACATGGAACGGTCCTCCTATTTGGAAGCACCTTTCATTCCCGGTCAAACTGGGGCTTGGCAACCTCGA